TATAATTAAATAAGGGTAATTATGGAACAAAAATAAGTCACACCAAAAACTTGTATCCCCTTTATATATAGTTATAGATTTATATATTTTGACCTTATCATGTTTAAGAACATATCTAAAAGAAAATTAAAAAGTGAATACATGAAAAAACACATTAGAGGCATGAAGAAAGGAAAGGATAATATGTAGATAAGAAAAAAAGAAAAAAAAACGATAAGAGTCTACTCCATTGTTATTCAGGATTCTCTACCAAGTTTTGTAATTACTTTTGTTTTGCTATTGAAATGAAGAGCAGTTGTTTCACACTTAAATGTCTGTGTACGACGGTTTTCGTTTTGGTTGAGCGGTTGAGATTCTTTCTCACACATGGTTGTAATTAAAACAAACTGCATAGATAATTATGGAAATATTACAATTAAATAAGGGTAATTATGGAACAAAAATAAGCCACACGAAAAACTTGTATCCCATTTATATATAGTTATAGATACCCTAAGTCTCAAAAACCATAACAACAACAATGACGATAACGACAACAATAATAATAATATTACCAGTATAATCATGGAGAAAGTTTTACATACAAGAAACGTGATGAGAGACTCAAATAAATGTGTTGGTTTGAGGTTTGTGTTCCTTATTCGAGCTTCCTTCCTCCCCTGTTTACTTCGTTCGACTTAGAAAACATGAAGAATGGTGTTTCAGTTTGTTAGGTGGAGAAGATGAAGAATGGTGTTTCTTTCGTTCGTTAGGGCGCAAAAAGTTTATGAGAAAAAAGAAAAAGTGAATGAGACTTAACATTATGATATTGGAATAAAATATTGTTTAGAGTTTATATCTCGGTTGGTAGAAAAAACCAAGGGAAAGCAAAGGGATAAATTTAATTTTAAAAAATTTTAAATGGAGTGTTTCAGGTTATTTGCCTTCTATTTTTTATTGATTGGGGTGAAAGTTTCGTTATAAAATATATTATTTTTAGTAGTGTATCTTATCTTATCTTAAGGTTGTTCCTGATTTAGTTGCATTTTTGTTGAGTTTTATTCTATTGCTCCCTTGCACCTATATTCACTTTATTTCAATGTAAGTTCGATTAGGAATGCTCATGGACAGTTAATTTTCATAATCAACCTATTACCATAAATAATTTATATGTTATAATTGATTATTAAAACCAATTGTCATAACAATTTTTATTATTCTAAAACGGTTATAAGCTAGATATTAATCGGTTATGTCCATAAACTAGTTTTGAAAAAAGAAAACTATTTTTTTTTATTTAATGAAAAAATATTAAAATATTATTCTAAAAATTTTATATATATATATATATATATATATATATATATATATATATATATATATATATATATATATATATATATATATATATATATATATATATATATATATATATATATATATATATATATATATATATATATATATATATATATATATGAGAAGGTTATTCTTACTCTAAAAATAGGTTATTAAAACTTGTTCCACGTCTTGACCATTCGTTCATTATAAATTTATGGCTAAAAGTAATATGTTATTTATTGACATTTTACCAAATAATTTTTTTCTCTTCTTATTTAATTATTATTCGTTATTAGTCATGGATTAAAAATAAATAAATGTTAATTACATATCTAAAATACATAGATTTTGTTAAACCATACTAATAATTAACCAATTGTTAATAATTAGATTTAGATTTAAGTATGGATAATTTAAATAATCGGTTAATGTAAACACTCCTAAGTTTAAGATTTATTTTCTTCTTTTTATTTTGATATTTGATTAATTTAATTTAATTCATTAAATTTACTATTATTTTAATAACATTATATCTATAACTATATATAAAGGGAATACACCTTTTTGGTGTGGCCTATTTTTGTTCCACAATTATCCTTCATTAATGCTTACTTTCATATTTTTATTCCATATTTACCCTTTACCTTAATGCTTAATTTTTCACTTGATTTTATTTAATAATAATACTAAATAATAACTGTAACAAATAACTTTCCACTATTTCCATAGTCCTTCCTATCATTAACGTTCATACTAACTCCTCTATGCAAAGTGAGTCTCTCTCCAAGCCATTTACAAACTATTTCCCTCAATTTGTCAGGCTATTTGCAAATTAATCATATCCCTCTCTCCCTTTCTTTGTCAAACCGTGCATACCTCTATTAGTATAGATCAAGGCTCTCAACAAACTCATTCTGATATTATTTTTGTCAGGTATATTTTTTAAAATATAATTGAATGAATTTATTAAACATTCATCGCATCTTTGTTATAGGCACTTAATGATATATATTTGTTACAGGCACTTGTGCTGGTTGTTTGAAACAAGAAACGTGCCTGCCAGTTTCACATATGAATTGTCCTTAAAAGTGAAAGGTGAGTATGTACTTTATTTTGTTATCTTGTTTTTCTGTTTAACTGTTTTACAAGTCATGTTTTGCAAATGGATATAGGCAAATGGATTATAGAAGGGAATAAGAAGTTGGTTCGGGGGCATATAGATGTTCCAGAGATCTCATTTAGGGAACTGGATGACTTGCAGGTACCTCTTATTAATGCGTAATATAGTTCCATATAGCCTTCATGTAATGTCCTCTTAAAGTCTGTAACATTCAGGGAGGTTAAAAATAGAGAGTTTTAAGATGTCGTTATACTAATTGTGTATGATAGATCACTATCTAATTGTTAATTCTTAATTCTTAATTATCCAAAAAAATTTATAAACAACTTCATGTTTATACGGTTTCACAGCTAATTGTTAGTTCATAGTTATCATTATCATTTAACATAAATCATAATTATAGTCCAATAAGCTTTAAGTCTAGTAACAAAAAAAGGCATATATGTTTTAAATCAAAATCCAAGGTAAATCAAATTAACTCCAAGTTTCTGTAAAAAAATTAGTCATAACACATCCAATAAAGCGAATGAAGCGAGTGGAATGAACATCTGTTACAAAACATAAACCAAAATTTAACATAAAACAAAAACTAATTGAATGAGGGAGAGAAGTTGTAAGTAAGTTTTGGATTTTATTGTTTTGTTTTGTTTGTAATTGCAATGCCACATGTTGGGTTTTCATTAGCTTTTATTTTGTTTTGAAAAAGTAAAAAACAAAGAAATTAAACGTTCCCCAAATTTACTTTTTCTGTTTCCATTTTGTAACCTTTATTATTATTTTTATAATTATTATTGATAATAAATTAAAATTACTAATCAATTATTCATTATTGAATCAATTAAGAATAGTTTTTTTTCTTCTTTCTTCATCAAATCAATACTTAATATTTTTGGTTCTAAAATAATTAGAATTAAATGATATCCTTAATATATTTAAGGTTTAATTAAAATAATAATTGAATCAATAAAAATATATTTGGTTGAAAAAGTCATAAAATCATCTTAATTATCAATTGAATTAGTTAATTTTTTTAATTTAATGTTTATCACACTTTTAGAAAAATGGGGTGGCTTTCCACGTTTTTCCTTTTTTTTCTTCTTCTACTTTCCTAATGCGTATAAAAATATAAACGATATTTTTTTTAAATAATTTTTTTCAAAAATATATTGTATGGAAGTTAATAATAAAAAATTACGTAGAAGTCAAAAATAATAAATTATGTGGAAGTTAATAATAAAAAATTACGTAGAAGTTAAAAATAATAAATTATGTGGAAGTTAATAATAAGAAGTTATTAAGTAAATTATAAAATAAAATAAGGATAGGAAGGGTAAAAAAATAAGTCACACCAAAAAAAAGTATTCCCTGTATATATTGTACAGAAATCAATTTTAAATATTGAACTGAATAGTTTATTTACTTTCTTTTAAATGGCACATTTGTAACAAGGTTAAAGCTTGTGAGGGAGCCTTAGAAGATACAAAAATATGTTACAATATCTTGATATCATTTTGGAATATCTCATAGGATTTGTTTCATCTTAGATAATTTCTTGATATTAGTTACCGTGTTTCTTTACTATTATCATGATTTGTTTCTCTATTTGATTTAGATTTGAACTCTTAGCAAAATAAATAATGGTTAGTTAGCATTTAGTTTTTTGGTGTCAAATTCCATTAATCAGTCATACCAAATAATATTCATGATTAAAAGTCATATTTGTTGGACTGTGGCTAAACTTGAGATTTAAGAGCTTTTCACTAATTTTTGAACCTTATCTTTATTGATAATGGAATTGAAAATTTTCTTGAACCTATATGCAAAATAAGATTATATGAAGTGCAATCATTCTATGTTCAGAGAACAAATATATAACAAAATCTTGATGCAAAAAATAATTTGGGATTTGAAAATTTTGATCCATGTAACATATTTCTTATAATGGATTGATTATATCTATTCAAATGAGAGAAATTTTCACTTACCAAAACCAGATTTGTAAGTGTAAGAACGTTAATGAAAAAGATAGAGAACACACAAAGATTTACGTTGGTTAAGCCAGCTAACATAAATCTTTGACTTGAAAACTGTGGCTTTCACCAAGTTTTTAAGACATTTTTTGAGATAATTCACTATTCAAAGTTTCATATGAGTTACTATAACACTATCTTTTCTCATTATTTTTTTAATAATATATCTTTTATCTATAACTTAAATTAACTCAGATTTTCATATAATTAAGTTACACTAATTTCATTTCTTACCCCATTTTATATTTTAAAGTTTAGTTAATATGCAATCTTTTCATCTATTTGTCCAACATAATTTATGTTTCTTTTTATTGATTGCCCATTTCTTCTTCGTCTTTTTTATATTTTAGTTTTGATTTATATTTTTAACATATGTTTTACAAATAATACTTTTTGGTGTAAACTTCTTTTTTCCAAAAACAAATATATTTATTTTAAATCCCATCTATATTTACCAATATTTTTCAAAATAATTAGTGAAATTATGTTGCTTATAAATTGCATATGTGTTTGGCAGTTACATTAACAAAATGGAAAATAATACCTGTCAGATATCAAGTCAACAACAAAGGGCAAGAATGGCCGAAAATGAGAAGATTAGGAGACAAAATATGAACCTCGAACAAAGAGAAACTTATTTATCATTACGACATGATAATTATAGGCGGCGAAAAGAGCAAGATAAAAAAGTTCAAACATCTCGCACTATGAACAGTCGGAGAAGGGTTTCATTTCAAAATTTTACAAATATGAGATCTCCAATATCACACTTTCAAGGAACTCATGACAATGAAGCCGACCCAAGTAGAATTGCACATGTTAATGATGTTGCACTTGGTTGGCGATGATCAATATAGATATTATAATCGTACTTTGTATAATATTGTTTATTTGTCATCTCTCGTTTTATGTATTTAAACTCGCAGATTATAATGTCACATCACCTAACCAACGTATCAACAATAGTCACTCTGCTACAGGTATACAAGATATTTTTCTACATATACGAGCGGTAATTTCAACATATATATATATATATATATATATATATATATATATATATATATATATATATATATATATATATATATATATATATATATATATATATATATATATATATAGTTATAGATATATATATCTATATATAAATATGTTAAATATTATTTTTATATCAGGCGCTATGGATGTTAATGAAGCTTTGGAGGATGTAGTAATATCAGATGTTAACATGGAATCAATAAATGATCGTGCATCATGTCGTCCTCAAGGTATGTTCATAAACATTTCTCTGCCAAATAATGTAGCTTATACTCAAGTGCCATAAAACTGAAAATTATGCAATGCTAAATCTTATAATCTAGGAATATTGCGTTAATTATTTATTTGTATTATAGATTTTAAATAATATTTAGTAATCAATATCAAACTCCTTCCTGTAGAATCAGGACGCGCTTTTCGAGCCAGACACAATATTGCTCGAAATTTCAAAAATAATTCTATGATAGCAAAATCCCGGTTGCCTAATCGAATTTCCTGTAGATATTGCAATGCAAAATTGTTTCATCATGAATCACGTGATATGTGTTGTACTGGTGGAAAGGTATCATTTTCACGAGTTAATGATCCTATAGAATTACAACAATTATTTTTGGATGGTTTAGTAGAAGGAAGGCATTTTAGGCAACATATTCGAAGTTACAACCATGTGCTCTCATTCACTTCAATTGGTGTTCACGTTGATGAGAATATTCTTGCATCTGGTCGTGGTATATATACATTTCGTTCTCAAGGTGCTTTTTACCATAACATAAGAGGTTTCTATCAAAATGAGGGTGCCAGACCGCGTTTCTTACAGCTATACATCTATGACACAGATAATGAGCTACATAATAGAATGCAGGAAAATCCACAACTTCACCAAAATGTAGTTCAAAATTTACAAAAAATGCTCCATCAGTTTAATCCCTTTGTAATTAGGTTCAAACAACTGTCACAACTTCCAAATATCGGTGAATGTAGCTTCATACTTAAAGAGCGTCCAAGTAATCACCATCAATATAATCTTCCAACTGCAGAACAAGTTGCGGCAATTATTGTTGGAGGAGATTCAGATTCTATGGAATATGGAAGGGATATTAATGTCATTCGTCGTGATGGAAATCTAAAGAAAGTTCAAGAGACAAAGGGATATTATGATCCGCTGCAGTATCCTATATTATTTCCTTTTGGGACACATGGTTGGGACGTTAACACAACAAATTGTAATGGACGAAGATTGTCATGTCGAGCATATTACAGTTACATGCTTCAGGTAAATTTAGATTAATTTTAGTAAATAGTATACTTAGATAAGCGTAGTTTAAAACACATCACTTTTAACACCGACATGTTTTTCAATCAATTGTAGATTTGCCCAAATGATCAATCAATATTGTTAAATGCGGGTCGACTATTGCAACAATATGTTGTAGACAATTATGTCAAAATTGAATCAGGGAGGTTAAGGTGGATTAGAGAGCACCAACGTGATATACGTGTTGAAGTGTACCAAGGTTTACAGGATGCTTTGCATGTCGGTGAAACTAATGCAGGTACTAAATAATGTAGCATAAATATATATTTTTAGATTACTAATTAGTTTTTGTACTTATAATGATAATCTTTCATGTATTCTGAAACTAATACATTTCATGAATCACCAGAGAAAACATTGGAAAAAGAACAATATTGCCATCATCATTTATTGGAGGTCGTCGAGACATGATACGACACTACGAAGATGGCATGGCTATTGTTCTTCATGGCGGTAAACCATATGTTTTTCTGACAATGACATGCAATCCTTCTCGGAGTGAGATAACATCAAAACTTTTGCCTTTTCAAACACCACAAGATCGTCCAGATATGCTAATAAGAATATTTCATTCGAAATTCGAGCAATTAAAGGATGATGTTATTAATAAAGGAGTCTTAGGAAAGGTTAAAAGCTACATGTACATCACTGAATTTCAAAAACGAGGATTGCCGCATGTGCATATGTTGTTGGTCTTAGAAAGTAACGACAAATTGCGTGGCTCAGAAGAGTATGATAGTGTGGTAAGAGCAGAAATACCTAAGCTAGAATGTGAACCACAGTTGCATGAAGCGGTTCTAAAACATATGATCCACGGACCTTGCGGCGTTATGAACTGGAAGTCCCCATGTATGAAAGACGGACATTGTAAAAAAATATACCCAAAACAATTCTTGGATGAAACACGTCAAGGCACTGACTCATATCCTGAGTACAGAAGAAGGTTTGATGAACCTATATCGTTAGGTAGAGGCAGGTCTGTCGACAATAGATGGGTGGTTCCTTACAACCCTTGGTTACTTTTAAAGTACGACTGCCACATCAATGTAGAGATTTGTAGTAGCATTAAAAGTATCAAGTATCTATACAAATATGTGTACAAGGGCCCTGATCGTGTGGCTATGGAGGTTCACAAAGGATCATACATGGATGAAGTTCAACAATATGTTGATGCAAGATGGATTTATGCTCCCGAGGCATTATGGAAAATATTTCGCTTCACTCTTTACCGATTATATCCTTCTGTTGAAAGATTACAGATCCACTTGCCGAACCGCCATCAAGTGCGCTTTTATGATCATCAGCGAATTGTGGATTTGTTAAATAATGAACGCAATTCCAAAACAATGCTCACACAATTCTTTACTTTAAACCTAAGAGATCCAGAATAGGGAGAAGGAATGGCATCGCAGACGGTCACTAAGAAAGGTTATCGGGAGAATCTATACGGTATCACCTTCGGAGGGAGAGAAGTTTTACTTGCGAGTACTGTTATCTCATGTCAGAGGTCCAACCAGTTGGGAATATCTTCTTACAAGTAATGGCACTTCTTTCAGTACATTCAAAAAATAGCCGAGGATAGAGGATTCCTAGAGACTGATCATAATATTCATGATTGTTTGGTTGAAGCGGCGAGTCTCCGAATTCCATATGCTTTAAGGAGGTTATTCGTGACGATTCTCATATTTTGTGAACCTACTGATGTTAGAAGCCTTTGGAATGAGTTTTTTACACATATGACAGAGGATTATCAAACAACTAACGTTGTTGTGGAACCGATCTTGACTAATATGTTGTTGAAGGACTTGAATGAACTCTTAAACATGCACGGTAAAAAGATTGAAGATTATGATCTCCCATCTTTACCCCTTGATACAGTACAAGGAGATTCGATTCCAAGTGTCATACAGGAGGAGTTAGCGGTCGATATCCCCAATGAAGATATTGAATCAGTTGCGAAGTTAAATAATGACCAAGTGATTGCATTCAAAATCATTATGAATGTAATTGATCAAAAACACATTGGGGAATTTTTTGTTGATGGTCCAGGAGGAACAGGTAAAACATTCCTTTATAGAGAATTAATGGCAAGTTTAAGAAGTAGAGGAGAAATTGTTTTGGCAACTGCATCATCTGGTATAGCTGCAACATTGTTACGCGGTGGTAGAACTGCACACTCTCGATTTAAGATACCTATCGATATACAACCGAGTTCTATTTTTGGTACTCAAAAGCAAAACGATCTTGCAAATCTCATTAGGGTTTCTACTGCAATAATTTGGGATGAAGCCCCAATGATAAACAAAAATTGTTTGGAAGCCTTAGATCGATCATTACGAGACATTTGTAGCAACAATGCTCCATTTGGAGGAAAAGTTATGATCATAGGGGGGAGACTTCCGACAAGTTCTTCCTGTTGTAAGAAAAGGTACTAAGGCACAAATGATTTTTGCGTGTATTCTTCAGTCTCATTTATGGGCTCATACCAAAATTTTGCGATTGCGTCAAAATATGCGATCATTGCATGATCAAGAGTTTGCAGAATTTCTTATGCGCATTGGTGATGATGTTGAACCTACCAAACTAGATGACATGGTGAGGTTGCCTTCACAGATTGTAGTCCCATGGGAAGGTGAACATTTCATACAAGTGCTTATACAACATATTTTTCCTGATTTAAAATTGCATGGTTGGGATGCCCTTTATATGGTACGAAGAGCTATTTTGACCCCAACAAACGATGATGTCCAAAAATTGAATGATATAATTATTGACCAATTTTCAGGAGAAGAACATAATTTGTTGTCAGTTGACGAGGTTGAATGGGATAATAATAATAATTTATACCAGCAAGAATTCTTAAACTCAATTGCACAAGGTAGTTTGCCCCCGCATATTCTAAAGATAAAAAAAGGGTGCACCATTGATGTTGTTGCGAAATCTAGATCCTAGATATGGGCTGTGTAACGGGACACGGTTATTATGTCGTGGGTTATATATGAATATGTTGGATGTGGAAATCTTGACATGAAACAACGCAGGAAGACGAGCTTTCTTGCCCAGAATTAAAATGAAAACATCGGCCAGTGATGGGTTGCCCTTTGTCCATAGTAGAAAGCAGTTTCTTGTGCGACTAAGCTTTGCAATTACAATAAATAAGTCACAAGGACAAACCATCCTAAATGTTGGAATATATCTTCCACGACATGTTTTCAGTCATGGACAGTTATATGTGGCTTTATTCAGAGGTGTTTCACGGATTACAACAAAAGTTTTATCCAAGGAAGGAAAATTGGAAGGAGAAGGTGGTGACTACACAAAAAATTTAGTCTTTAAACAAATTCTTTTATCGCACCCTGTTGCGGTGGAAATAGGATCACAAACTATTAATGAGTTTGAATCGCAATTCAATTCACAACCGCTCTTTGATTTATCTGAACGAAAAGGTCAAAAGAGGGAAAACCTATTTTTGCATCGTAAACACAATGCGGG